CCGACGGTCACCCTGGGGGTGCAGTTCTAATCAAAGGCTTTATCCACTTGGCAATCTATACCTCAGAAACACAAATTGGAGAAAACCATCAATGTGTAAAGGAGACCTATAAATCAGAATGTCAGGTGGCACGGTTTCTTTTTAATAACTAGTATTTAGAGATTATTGGATAAAATATTCCATGGATACAAATTTATATTCTTCACATCCCAGCAGGATGCCACCCTGTCCCTGCTATTTTTATCTAACAACAGGAATGAGAAGGGAGTGACAGGAAAACAAACAGTGGCCTCGCTCTCCTGTCTAGGGGGGTTTAGATGACTTAAAGTTGATTTCCTTTCCTAATGCTGGTCACGGAGTCTTTTGTTTTTAAGTTTGCCTGCCTGTGTATGTGCAGAGAAGATGTGTATCATCAACTTCAAACCAAGAGGTGTCCAGCAGGATGGCAGGTTTCTCTGCATTGATATTTACATGCACAACTGGGACTATTAGTTCACAAGAATCAATATACTAGCAAACAAGCTGACGCTCAAGGAAAAATGCTACTTCTCCAGAGCTCATTCCAGGCCTTTCTCCAGTATGCTACAAGAGTATCCATCATATATGTTTGAGGTTTACTATTTAATATTCCCTTCCTTTGAAAATCTCCTAAGGGTCCTTGTTAAAGGTCAGAACCAGGAGCACCTGCATCAGTGGAGGCTGAAGACCTTTTTGAAAACAAAGGACAAATAACCACCTGGACCTAGGGTCTTCTCCTAGGTGGAGCTGCTCAAGGAAATATCCCATAGGGATTTTCTGTGCCATTTCAGGGAGTCACATAGCCCAGGTAGACAAATGAGTAGTGAGCATCAGCAGAACTAGGGTGTATACTCAAGACTCACTCTTTTTTTTTTTCAAGCTTTGGGAGTCTGACCCCAAGCAGTTTATTTGCATATTTAAGCATAGCACAATTTGGTGAAAACTTTCCCGGTGATCATTGACTCAATCTCATGTGCACAATAAAGCTTCAGAGTGACTACATTGAAATTTTTGAAGCACAGGCGACATCTACCATAAAGATGACTTCTATAGATTGACAAACTCATGATGAAGACCTGGAGAGGAGCTGGTGTGGCCTTGGCCATACAGATGGTGCAAAAGTCACTAGGCCATTAAACACATCAGCCCCCAGCTCCTTGGGTGGATAACAGGTTATACATAGCTGTCAAGACTCACTCTTAAAATAGTTGTCAGTCTGGGGATCTGTAAGAGAAAGCAGGTCACAAACATTACAACTGAAGGCTAAGCACAGAAGTACCACCTCGCTCGTAGACACGTGACGCTGAGGTGTGTAAGAGGACTACATACCAGACCATAAGCTCCAATGAGACAGCAGCTACAGCAGCTCCTGTTTGTACTGAATCCTCACCGCTATAACAGTTCACCACTGTGCTTTGTAGGATTTGTGTTGAAGGGAGGGAACTGGTATTTTTCTGATTCTAAACAAACATTTTGTAAAAAGAAAGAGACCCATGTGCTTAGGAATTTACAAATTTCTGTGTAAAAGGGAAAGGGTTGCCTTCAAAGAAGATGCCCAAAGAAGCCATGGAAGACACACACTGTCCAGTAGACAGAACATAAAATATTGCCTAGGTAATTAGTGTGACAGCAGAGACACAGCAGCCAGCCAAGAAGACACAGCTCAGTAGTTTCCAGTTTCATAAAGACACATCCAACTCATTCCAGATTATCTCCACTCTTGCTTAGCTGATTCCGTAATTGGCATCAAGGAGCTCACGGGTAAATTTTCCTGTAAATTTTCACATTTCACAAAAGAGTTCAACTGGGTTCCCACATTTCCTCAGCACCCCTCCCCCACACTCACATCAGAATATCTGTCACAGATACTATAATTCACTTTCTAACAAGCTTTCCTCAGAGCTATCCTTGAAAGATTCATGATAAGAGGGACAAAAGAGCCATAAGACTCAATAGCAACCCTGTTTTGGTAATAACATTTATGTTTAAGGGAAACGAATTTATTTCAATTCTACTTTTTGTTAAAATTGAAGAACAGAAAGTTACCCGATCTGCAACTTTTGGTTGCCCTGGGAGATTATGGTATAGACAATGTACCTTAAGGCTTAGTTTTTGCAGTTTTCTGCCTGAATTCCTTCTTTCCTCACTGAGGACTTTTAATAACATTTCACTGAGCTCTTGGTTTTATCATTCCCTGCAAGCAACAACTTCCAAACCTGCTCATGCCTCTTAATCAAACCCCGGGAGAAATTTTGCTTCAGGCCTAGACATCAGAGCCCTAACTACTTCTGTAAGTCTATCCCATTCTGTAAGATACACCCATCCACTGGAAACAAAACTCTTCTTTCAGAGGGAGACCGCAGTTCCCTTCAGGCCTTGCTTATCTTGTTTCCCCAGTGCCAAGAACATTGAGCAAACTTCCTTCTAGATCCAGAACTGAGAAGGCCCATTCTCCAGCCTCCAGCCCTCCAGCCTGTCCCACATAGAGCAGTCAACACTTCATGGTCTTCTTAGAAAACCATCTTCCCCAATGTACTCATCTAATAAGTAGTTGTTAGACTTTACATGTAGAGACACAGTGGTGAAGAAAAGACAAAAATCCTTCCAGGAATCATGTGCCTGTGAATCAGAAACAACTTCAGTTTGGAGCATGGCAAGCTGTTCTCTTCAAAAGTCCACATCAAAAAGGACTCTTGGGAACTACCTACTGCCTCAGTTAAGTGGTGAGGCCTGGGCGATCATCTCCACCGTCTGTGCTGAAAATTGGGGTAGGCTTGTCTTTTGAAAGTGTTGTGCAGGTAACCCCAACTGCTATGAGTTCATGGGTGTGACACTTGTGTCATGTATGGAAGACAGACTTTCATAGTACCTCTCCCTCCAGTTGTTAACATTCTTTCTGCCTCCCTCCTCAGTGTTCCCTAAGCCTTGGTGAGAGGAGGGGGATTGATATCAATATCCATTTAAGGCTAAGAGCTCTCAGGCTCTTATTCTCAGCTCTGTGACCAGCTGCATATCTTTCTATTGACTGCTGCCCACTACAAAGAAACACTTCTCTGATTAAGGACCAGAATGGCCCTGCTCTAGGATTACAAACACCAGTATTGAGAAGCTACTTTGCCATCATGACCATTCAGCAAAATAACAATAGCAGAATGTACACTAGGGACCATGATCTCCCCGGCCATGGGCTTTGAGCAGAGTTATGGTACCAGAAATAACATCCCTTCCTATAAAACAGGCCTCAAATCCAAGCAGTTTTCCCATAACAGCCATACCACTGTTGCCTGTGAAGCAGGCCTTAATCCAATCAGAAAGAAGTTAGTTGCCCCATAACAGCCATCCCTCTATTGTGCCAGTGGCCGTATCTTGTCTGGCAGGTTGGTATCATAGGATGGGGGGAGGGGGGTTCCTAATACTGGGTAAAATCACAGATATGTTTTCTCTCTCACAGCAGCCTTCGTAACACCTTCCAGCACTGTGAAAAGTAGTCATTGGGGAAGTCAAACAGACTTTTAAATCCACAGACTACAGTTTTTCAACCCGCAGGTGTGCTGGACCAGCTGAGATGCAATCAGGTCACCCGGAGGCTCTGGGTGCAGCATGGGTGGAAAGGAGTCTGGATCTGTGCCTTTCTCACATTCTCGAAGAAGCCCCAATGGCCCTGAGAGTGTATTTTGAAAGCTGCTAATCTAGGTCAAATCCTCTGGTCCATATTTGGAAGGAACAGGAACCCAAGGAGATTAAGCTATTTGCTGAAGCTCCACAGCCATTTAGCCGTACAGCAAAGACACACTCAGGCCTCCCTCCTGACACAATTCTCCAACTCGTGCTATTATTTTTGATGAAAACGTGAGAGCACCATGATAATGGATTCTTGTGTAACAGTGAAAAAAACACTTAAAACTCTAAGGTGCTCTTATACTGTGTGGCCTGAATCTGTCATATTCAAATGTCTCAGTGAGAAACTTTGTACTTTGGAGATAAATTTTTCTGAATCTACCATTGCCTGAGACTCTGTGAGAGGCTACGTTTACCTATGTGAGGAGCTAGAGGCAGGGTTGGCAGGGGATCCTGAAGAGGGTAGGTTCCCCAGCTTCTCGCCTCACACTTTGCTGGAGGTGAAGCCAGAACTTCATTGCTCAAAGAAGATACTTCATACTAGAGGCTTGAAACCATATCTGGTCACACATTTTACCTCATCTTGTTCCCTTACTGATTCACACAAATCACATCCTGACCCACATAGCTTTATGAGCAGGCACTGGAAAGGCTAATCCTCACTTATGTCACTCAAAACTGGTGTGCGTGTTTATGTGTGTGTATATATGTATTATGTGTGTATATGTATGTGTATATTATTCATGTGCATGTGTATATGTACATGTGTGTGCCCATGTGTGTGTATAAATGTGTGTATGTGTGCGTGTGTGTGTGTGTGTGTGTGTGTGTGTGTGTGTTGATACTGGTCAATCCAGCCATCCCCTCTAATGCCCGGTGGAGGAGGAGGGACCTAATCAAGCCTCTGGCTGTCCTTCTCTTAAGGACTTCTCAATGCTCTCCTTTGCTTCCATTTGTATTTTCCAGCTTGAACTTGGGGCATGTCTGTAGTGAGATTGTGACAGAGGCTGTGCCCCCTAACCAGAAGGAAGGGAAGAGAGAAGGCCTCTGGGTTCACAGGACTGTCACTTACTTTAATTTCTTTATCCAGGCAGCTTCCTGGCCTACCCACTTCCCCCCTGCCTGACACCTATACAGCCTTTGCCAGCTATCCTCATCGTATTCCCACTGGCAGGCCTTGGCCTTATCCAGCCCAAGGAGAATGACTGGACCCAAATGAGAATGAATGCTTCCTATTCTAGAGAACGAAGCCCACACTTTGTTTCCATAATTTCCATTGCCCAGAATGAAAACCCAAATTACAGCAGTTCAGGACTATTTGTAAAATATGCCATTATCATAAACCACACTGCCTTTCTTTTCAGGAAGAAAGTGAGATCCCTGCCAGTGTGTTTGTGAAGGAGCCGGTTCCCGTCCCCGCAGAAGGCAAGGAGGAGCTCGCTGAGGAGAACAAGTCCCTGGAGGACACTCTGCACAACGTGGACCTCTCCTCCGATGATGAACTGCCCGGGGATGAGGAAGCCATGGAAGACAGCACAGAGGAGAAGGTGGAAGAAAGCAGGGCAGAGAAAATAAAGAGATCCAGCCTGAGGAAAGTGGATAGCCTCAAGAAAGCATTTTCTCGCCAGAACATCGAGAAAAAGATGAACAAGCTGGGCACAAAGATCGTGTCTGTTGAGAGGAGAGAAAAGATTAAGAAGTCGCTCACGCCAAACCACCAGAAAGCATCTTCAGGGAAAAGCTCCCCCTTCAAGGTTTCCCCCCTCTCTTTTGGTAGGAAGAAAGTCCGAGAGGGAGAAAGCTCTGCGGAAAACGAGCCCAAGTTAGAAAACCAGATGCAGAATGACCATGAGGAGGGTTCCTTTACAGAGGGTCTTTCCGAAGCATCCCTCCCCAGCGGCCTGGCGGAGGGCAGCGCAGAAGATGCTGAGAAGCCAGCCTTGAAAGGGAACAACTCCGGCGTGGGCAGCAACGCCGACCTGACCATTATGGAAGATGAAGAAGAAGAGTCGGTGGACCTGCAGCAGGTGCGCTATGAAAGCGGCTACGAGCTCAACGCCGAAGAGATGGAGGGATCCAGTGAGAAACAGGTCCAGCCGGCTGTGCTGCAAGTGGACCAGACTGCCTGAGTGCACAGCCAGAACACTGGGTCAGCTGCAGAATCCAGGGCTGGCTCAGCAGCATCTGCATCCCGGAAACCACCTCTACACCTCTCCATCTCTGCCTGCCTCCCGCTGGGACTGTCCAGGCCTTGATTACTGGTCATACATGGGATCAAGGAAGCAAACCGCCAGGGATTCCATTTTAGTTTGCTCTTAGGTTCTGCTTGCGTAGAATTTCTCCACGATTGGAAGAAGAAAAAAACGGAGCAGTTAAAAATCACCAATCTATTTGGCTTAGTCGGAAAAAATAAAGGATATTTAAGACAATAGTCATGAAATGTGATTTTTTTTCCTCATCATTCTATCAGCTTGCTGAATAGTGTAGCAGTAATATAGTGAATTCTTACCGTAGTCTATGAATGATGATTCTTCAAATATGTGAGAAAGGGTACACATAAGTCTGTAAGCTGAGGGTATAACTATGTATTTTAAGAAAAGAAACATTTACAAGGGATAGAGCAGAATTCTCAGCTGGTTATTCTTCACAGAAGGCAGTATATTACAAGTGGGGGTTGGGAGGTTATGATGGTCAGGTAAGAGCATGAGGGCTGTTGGGCTCGAAAACGAAGGTGGAAGGACTGGGAAATGAGAGAAATGGAAAACAAGGAATGCCAAAACGAATGGTGACTAAGGGAAACAAAGGGTGCGCTTTAAAAGTGAAATGTTGACATTTTAAATCCATTTCACTCTTTAGATAACAATACGAAAGAAGTTCACATGTCTTGCAAGAGTATGTCTTATCTTCCCAGTGTTTTCATAGTCTAGCATTAAATAGTATAACCAGATATCCTGATATAAAAGTTGTGGTTCTTCTTGCTAAATAAATGACAGAACACATCCACCTGTGAAGAAGTTAAAAAAGGACATTGTCGCTTTAACCTTCGAATACTATGTCTGCAATCAGTAGCATGTACTCTTTTATGGGAAAGCCAGTCACATGATTCTTCAACTTTTTTTCATTTTCAAGTGGCCTTTCCACTCCAAATATGATATAGGTTCAAACCTGCATGTCTATGTAGAGAAAATTTCAGTTTTCCCTCTTTTTATATACATAATGGTAATGTCATTCCAGGTAGTATTTTATTTATACATTAACTTCACAGGATATTATTAATGTGTTTTAGCTCCTAAAAGCATGCTAGTATTTTATGTCATGTGTATGCTCATTCTGTCTAACATACTAAAAAGTTACTTTATCTTTTGTTCATTACAAAATGCCTATGTTTTGCTAAATTACAGTGTAAGGATAGGAGACCCGGGCTTGAACTCTGTCCTCTGAGTGTGCAGTACCACAAGTGATCTGACAGCCGGGTGACTCTAAGCAGCAGCAGCCACACGCTGTCTCTGACTGTGCAAAAGGGGATGAGATGAACACAGTGCATTGATTGTGTGGCCTATTCATCTGTGCTCCTATGTGGCAACAAATGTAACCCCAGATACCGAATTATTGAACTAACAATACCTGTGTGACATAATATTAAATAAACCAAAAAAACAAGAAGTATATAACAGTGTGGCTTTGTTGGCAAAACAGTCTTACAGGCAGAAGGAATCGATTTCGAGATGTTTTCTGAATGTAATGGCAATGTTGATGGCTTCAGTCTTATTTCCCCTATTAACTCTGCTTTCCTTTTCCCCTTGATCTCATTCTTCAATCTTCACTTTCTTGACACCACCTTGCCAGTTCTATACCATCTGGACTTACTGCAGCAGCTTGATTAATTTGATAGTGCCATCTGCATTTGATAGCATTGCACCAGGTCTTATGATACCTTTGGCAGTCCTGCAATCCTGAATCTGTTGAGTTGTTCATTCAGTTTGTTCAGTCAGATACACTTTGTCCCCTGCAGTACCATAGACTCCTTTACATAGCACCCAAAGCAGGCTTGTTCCACCTTCTGTGGAGTGACTGCCATTTAGTGTGGCTGGTGAGTTGGGGAATCCATGGTTCATGAAACATTTCCACCTCCCATTGCAAAAATACTTAATTTATTCCTACACACTAGATGCTTGTCAGTGGAAACTGCATGCGAACATCTTAAGTTTTACTGACAATCACATTTATTCTATGTTCCACAGTCGAAGCTTTAAAATCCCAAGCAATAAAACAGAGAATTAGGCCAGATAATTGTTGGGAAACACACACCATAGGGATTAGAGCAAGCAGTGTCTGTGGCGATGGAACCTATTTGTTTTGTATTATTGTTGAATTATTTGCATACTGGTGAGGCTGTGAAGTCCCCAATTAGATATGTCTTCTTCCCACCCATCCAATAAACCATCTCTAACTTTGTGTGCCTGGAGCTCAAGAACTCGATTAGTGTTCCCGTAGTATCAGTTACACATTAATAAGGACTGGGATCTGTATCTTAGAAACAAAATTCTGTAGTAAGATTCTTCCATGATATGAATCACAAATCTCACCAAAAAAACGAGCAAAGAAATATTATTTTTCTACAAAGGTTTACTTCTTTTAAATTTATAGATAGACATTTCAACAGGAATCTTTTTCTCTGACTTAGAAATCCAGTTTTTGGATTAATTACCAGTTCGTTTTATACATGAAAGTAAAAAGAGACTGATGATAAAAATTAGATCTACACAAGCCCATCCTTTTTCAGCACTAATTTTCCACTATAAACCTCTGCTCTAGCAGTACCCATTCACTGGGAAGTTTGGGCTTCATACGGTTCCATCCACTATGAGAAAACTAGAGTTCCCTCATAGCCAAGCTGCCAGTATTAAGTAAAGGTTATAATGAAAGTCATTTCCTACATTAAGACACTAATGCCTGAGCCCAGTTAATTCCTGCTCGAAAGTTTGTTTACTGCCCTACAGCCTGAATCTAAGTGATTTTATATTGGAGATTGGGAGTATGAGGAATGGAAGTGCAGGCAGCAATCATTATTAACAGTTCCATAGCAACCACAAGTCCTTCCCTAAAACCCAAGACTCCTGCACTGCAAAACACGCAGTCGATGAAATTGGCATTGCGACCTTTGTGAGCTGCTTGATCCAGGTGTCCAGATAAAGAATTCGGCAGCCAGCTACTCATTCCTAAAGGGAACAGGCAGAAAACTCACACATTAAAGGTACTTTATTCTTTATTTTAACCATTGCATTATCTGGCAGTATCTGAAAGCCTAAAATTGTTTTTAACTCTGTATACAAACTGGCCAATTAAGAAGTCACACCTTCAGTGACCAGCTTGATGTCCATATATTTATATACTTTCCACTGCAAAAATCAATTTGTTAAATATTTATAGAGCAAAGCAACCTTTACTCTCTTTCATTTGCTGCAATTCTTAAGTGCATTGTGCAGAATACACAAGAATGAGTGGAAAGAACCAATATTTTTATAGTTCCCTTGACTTCAGGTTGAGCACCCCAGCGTCCCGCAGTTCTGTGTGCCTAGTACAAGCATGACCTCATGTACTGAAAATCCTACTGGGAAAGCTCTGATTTCCCTCCATTTTAATAGAGTAAGAACTTGAGATGTTGCAGTTAATTTACTCCAAATGGTAAGGTAAAGAGGAGGGACTCCAGACATTTTTAAACATTCAATGTGTTCTCATTTAAATGCATGAGTACTGTGTCTCTCTGATCTGTGGCACACAGACCTAGACACTCCATTTTGTGGATATCAAAATCCAAGAATGTTATAAAATGGCAAATACTGCATATAACCTATGCAAGCATCCTATGTAACTTTAATTTCCCCCTAAATTACTATTACCTAATACAACACACACATTTTAAAATTTCTTTATTATTTTTATTTATGTGTATGTGCCTGTATTAGTTGGTGGCACGTGACTGCAAGTGTATGGGGAAGCCAAAGGGCAGTGGATTCCCTGGAACTGGAGTTACAGGTGGTTGTGAGAAGTCTGCTGTGGATGCCGGGAACCAAACCTGGGCCCTCTGCAAGAGCAGTAAGCACTCTTAACTGCTGGCCCCAACAATGCACACATTTCACACAAGAGTTGTTATACCAGAATGTTTAGAAAGTAAAGACAAGAAAAACAGTCCATACACGTTAATACATCTTAATGTTGGTCCTTTTCTGGTTATGGTTGAACCCACTGATGCAGAATGATGGATTCGAGGACTGACTGCTTTTTGTTTTGAGGGCTATAGTCTATAGTCATGTGGCTTGTACAAGTTAACTTAACTAGTAAATAGTTCCAGTGTTCCGCCCCAATCTGAAATCCATTCTGCCAGACAGACTCCTAACTATGGCATAACTGTGTTTGTTGTGAATTGTTGTATAAGCTCTCGATGATCTGCCAATCACTTCATTTTATCATTCCGACAGCATCACAGACAGTTGCACTTCATAAACGATCTCATGACTGTCATTTCAGTGCTTTAAAACACACACACACCAATGATGGCTTCTGGAAAACTATTCTCAGGTTTGTTAGACCACAGAGGGTCTCTTTAGGTCCTTGGTGTCATCCGTTATCAGAGGATGCAGGGCTCACTTTGGGGCAGGGTTTAATAACAGCAAGCTGTTGACAGAGCTAGATCCTGCAAGTTGCTCATTCAAAGATAACTCATGAGGTCTGCCTCAAGCTCTGTGTTTTATGGGATTCATATTCCTCCATCATTCCTGAGAAACTGCTCAAATCTACTCAGACACCCTCTCTTACAGGCTGACAATGAAAGCAAAATTAGCGCATGGTAGGAAGGAAGAGTTTGGAAGTTGGTGGCCCATGATGGTATGCAGCCCGTCCAGTGGATGCAATTTCTACACTACTATGAAGCTTTCTTCTCAGGAAAAACAGGGGCTAGGTCAAAGAGAATGCTTGAACCCTCATCTCTATGGGCAAAAAAATCAAAGAAAGCCCCCTAGGCCAGCACTTATTCATCAAGGTGTGTGCTACAGGCAGCAACTCCCTCCAAAGGCTTTGGCAGTAGTCACAAACCTAAATGTCTGAAGGTCTCAGAAGTGAACAGCTTAAGCAGGTGGCGACAGTTGTGGCAAAGCTATTACAAATGGGCTTTCTGATGAGGCAAGCTTACAACTCATACGCCTAAAGGCATGCTTTTTTTCTAACTCCCACAGAAGCAAAGTATGTTCTAGAAGCCACATAGGCTATACGGCCCCAGTTGCCATGTGGAAAACCAGGCCAGTGGTGCCAAAATTTAGACTTCTCCATGAAAGAGCCAAAATTCAGATTTCTTTGTATTGTGAAAATCTCCTGGCTTTTAATTTTTGGCAAGTAGTTCAAATCATTCTTAAGCAGTTGTACACTGTATAAGCCAAATATCAATATTTGTTGATTGGATGTGGTCCAGACACAGGCCATCAGTTTCTGACTCCTGATCTCTAGAGATGAAGGCTCTGTGGTTCTTCCTGCCTTCCTGGAGGCCATAAACACGAGAATAGAATGCTAGTGAGAGGATCAGATTTGCCTAAAGAGCACAGAAATCTTCCTGGGGAGCATAAAGTACGAAGTCCTCCTGCAGGATCTTCTAAGAACAATCCCTTTCCGCTTGCTGCATCGGAAGATTGCCATTTGTGGTGTGTACTTGCTGGGGTAAGGGAGCAGAAACCAATTGCATGATTACACACATGTTCCTTAGTGAGAAGGATCATCCTTTGTCATTTACATGTATGAGTTACCTGCAGTATCTCCCGGATGTTGGATGAGTAGACCTGCTTCACTAAACATGCCAACTTTCTCTCTCACCTGTGTTTCAGTTGAAAAATATCTGCTTTCGTCAATCACTTGGAGACCTTATAGATGACAAAAAAAGCAAGTCTGTGTTCTGTTGTGTCATGCATCATGGTGAAATTGCCAGCCAAACCTTGTTCTTTGACTCTTCGTTGTTGATAATGAGATACAGTAGGGAAAGAACATGGCTCGATTTTTTTTTTTTGGATGCTAAATTGATCTTTCAGAACTCAGAGTTGGAGAAAGAAACTGATACAGATTTAGCACAGGGTCATGATGCCCTTTGTTAAAGAGAAACTTTTCATGCTTGCAGCCACTTGTAGCTCTGAGGAAGGGCAAGGATTAGCTGTGTCTCTTAGGGCTATTTGCATGGCAATTATCTTCATAACCCTAAGAACATAGAGGAAAATGCATCATAGTCTAGTGAATAAGCTTTTAAATCAATAATTTCAAGTCTGTAAATGGACAAGAAAAGAAGTTCCCACCCTGGGATTCATGTAGAGACACAGTATCACAACTTAGGGGACTGGCCTTAAGAATAAACACAGAAAGCAAATGAAGCATATCGAGTATAGTTTGGTACACCACTTAGTTCACTGTCATGGTTTGAATATGAAATACACCCCCCAAAGGCTTGTGCATTGAAGGACTGAATCCCAAATGGTGGTGCTAATTGGCGAGGTGGTGGAAACTTCAGGAAGTGTCATGTTGCTGAAGTAAATGAGACACTGGACACCTACATGCCTTAGAGGTTATCCCTGGTCCCAAGTTCCTCATTGTGTCTCTCTTCCTGTTCATAAAGTGGGTAGCTCCTACTGCCT